CCTTGGCCAGGACAACTCATGATAGCAGCTCACCTGCATGAAGGGCTAACCTGGGTGAAGCATGTACCACAAGTCGGGCACAGTCCCAAGGGCCTTTCCTGCACTCACTCCTTCATTTCTCACCACCACCCTCAAAATTAGAAACTGCTACTACTCCTGTTTTACAAATGGCAAAATCAAGGCACAGAGAGGTTAGGTAACTTGCCTAAATTCACACTGCTAATAAGATGTCCCTTGGTTTATTTTATTAATAGCAAAGCATCCCTTCCAGCTAGCCATGAAATCTGTTATTAATCAAGTAGTAGAAAGGACTGGGAGCCTGGAGGTGAAAGACCAGTCAGGAAACTATTCTCAGGATGAGTGACAGATGATGAGGGCCTAGCCAAGGCAGTAGCCGTGGAGACAGTGGGACAGGGCTGGACAGGAAGAGGTGACAGGGGGGCTGTGACAGAGAGAACATTCGAGAGACGTGGTCGAAGCTGGATATGAAGGGGTGGCAGAGGGAGAGGAGGTGAGAATGATTCTCTGGTGTCCGCCTTGTCCGTCTGGATGTCAGTGGTGCCGTGGACCAAGGCGGGGTATGCAAAAAGCGGAGCAGGTTGGGGAAAAATTGTTCAGTATGTGATGTCTGGTTTTTTTATACCTGTGATACGTTTACATTACAACTAAGATTCGGTGGGTATTTGGATCTGGAGCTCAAGAGAGGACTAAGCTGAAGTAAGAATGTGTGAGCCATGGGCAGACAGGTGGAAGTTTGACCCATGGGACCCGGTGAGAGTAGTCAAAGTGAGCATTCAGGGCTTCCCTGGTGGCGCAGTGGTTGCGAGTCCGCCTGCCGATGCAGGGGACGCGGGTTCGTGCCCCGGTCCGGGAGGGTCCCACATGCCGCGGAGCGGCTGGGCCCGTGAGCCATGGCCGCTGAGCCTGCGCATCCGGAGCCTGTGCTCTGCAGCGGGAGAGGCCACAGCAGTGAGAGGCCCGTGTACCACAAAAAAAAAAAAAAAAAGTGAGCATTCAGCGTGGGGGTGAGACTAGAAGAGGGGGGACAGCAAGGGGACACCACCACATCGTGTGTAAGCAGAGGGGAGGAGCAGAAGAGGCTGAAAAGGATCATGAGAGTTATAGGAAGGAGAAGATAAAGCCAAGGGATAGTGAGGAAAGGAGAGGCCCAGAGCCTCTGATCGCTCTAAAGAATCAAGTAAAATGAGGCCACAGGTGGCCAAGGCATTTGGTAGCCGGGATGCTGTGGGCAGCCTTAGCGAAGCAGCTTTGGTGGAGTGTTGGGGTCATCAAACACTGTCACAGAAGCCAGACGGAAAGGGGGGAATGGAGTTGTAGGAGCACCAAATGAAGGACGGGTAGATCCATGCTTGCAAAGTTCAAATTATTGGATTCTTACGTCCGCATTACATTCATTTCCATCTTTCTACAGAGACTCCCAGTTTTTCATTTTAATGACTTTACCCCATCGTTGATAAGATTGAATGAATACCTTCTATGAGACGAGAATCTTACTTCAATATCTAGCTGTAAGCCTTTTAACAAATCTATAGGGTAGACAGTATCATTATCTCTTTTTTTAAAGATGAGTAAGGTAAGGCTTAAGGACAATGAAACAGCTTGTCCGAGGCTGCAGCAGAGCTGGTGAGGGGAAGCCTCAGAATACAAACAGTCTGAATCCAGTCGTTTTGTGCTGAAATATCACTCTATGATCTGTTGCCTCCAAGAAACACAGCCCTTTCTCCTGGTGTTACACATCTAGGTGGTTTCTGCCCCTTTGCCCTGCATGGCGCTTTAGATTTCTGCTGAGTTAATTAATACACTTCCTCAACAGCTACTTTTTCTTTCAGCCCCATCTCATTGCTCCTCATCTGTCAGGGAGTTGAGTGATCAGTGCACAGAACACTGAGGGTGGGATGATTTACGAAGCCAAATACCTGGAGTTGCCCCAAAAAAAGCGAAAGAAAAAGAAAAAGAGGCATTCTTCCAGGAAATCCACCTGGTTGTATCCTGAAATATAAATGCTTATCCCAAAGAACCTTAAAGGAAAACATTTAGCTGATGCTTGAAATGGTTTAATGCAGAAAACCATGCTGAACCCAGCAGCGGTCCTTCCAGCATTCTGAAGTCATTTCAAAATATTTTTAGAGGTTTTTGTAAATACTTGGCCAAGAGAGATGAGAAACATGACACTTAGCAAGACAAAGTTGAGTCCACAAGAACTCGAGCAACAGAGTTGATAAAGGTTCAAAAGCACATTTTTTGTATCTAAATAAAACCCGCCAGAAAATAATCTCAAAACACCAAGTCTTCGAGGTGTCATTCTTAAATGGATGCTGCCACTACGAATGCTTTGTGGCAGGGAACTTGAAGTTTCTAGACTCTCTCAGCCTTTCAGCATTATCCTTCAAAGACCTCTTCCAGATCAGTGTTTTCAAACATGCCCGATTGAGACCCCAACAGGAAATACATGTTGGCCCAGTATATGCTTATGCGTGCACAAGTGTGCATTCACTTCACACACTCCTCATACACACACCCATGCATACTTATCCTCACCATTTGCCCTTAACTCAAATATTTTCTTTCCTATTTTATTTTCTTTGTTAAAAATTCTGGTCCTAATAACACAAAATTTTTTCATGAGGGCTTGAAGAGTCGCAATCCACAGTTTAGAAACCCTGCTCTAAAGGATCTGCACAGGCAAGAACCTGCAATTGGTATAAGAGAAAGTATACGAGCTTTGCACAGGGAACTATATTCAATATCCTGTGATAAACCATAATGGAAAAGAATATTTAAAAAAAAAGAATATATATATATATATATATGTATGTATAACTGAATCACTTTGCTGTACAGTAGAAATTAACACAACGTTGTAAATCAACTACACTTCAATTAAAAAAATAATCAATGCAATTAAAAAATATATTTTAAGAAAGAAAGTTTATGAGCTTTGGAATTAGACAGACATGGAGTGGGGTCCAATCACACCTCTCCAGTTTACACACTGTGTGCCTTTGGGCAAGTTAGTTGAGCTCTCTGATTCCCTCTCCATAACCCTTTGGAATTGCTGGGAGAATGAAAGGAGCAGACACATAGAAAAGCACCTAGCCCAGCACTTAGTAGCACTGAATGCATTCATTCGTCCAACAAATATTCACTGAGCACCAGAAGCTGTCCTAAGGGCTGGGCATATAGCAGTTAACGAAACCAGTGGCACCTCTGCTTTCGTGGAGTTCACATTCCAGATGGCAGAGACAGACACTAAGCAAATAGACTACGTCAGGGAGTGATAAGGGCTGTATTGGTTTCATACTGTTGCTATAACAAATTACCACTAACTTAGTGGCTTAAAACCACACAAATTTATTATCTTATAGTTCTGGAGCTCAGAAGCCCAAAATGGGTCACACTGGGCTAAAACCAAGGTGAAGCCAGGGCTTCATTCCTGCTGGAGGCCCTAGAAGAGACTCCATCTCCATGTCTTACCCAGATTCCAGAAGCTGCCCACACTCATTGGCTTATGGCCCCGTCTCCTCCCCAAAGCCAACAACAGTGGGTTGAATCCTTCTCACATGGGATCACATTCACTCTGCTTCTGTCGCGCCATCTCCTTCTCTGACTCTGACCCTCCTACCTCCCTCTGTTAAAGACCCATATGGTTAGATTGGGTCCACCCGATGATCCAGAATCATGTCCCACCTCCAGATCCTTAACTTAATCACATCTGCAGAGCCCTTTTTGCAATGAAAGGGAACATATTCACAGGTTCTAGAGACTAGGATGTCATCCTTGGAGGTGGAGGGGAGCAGATTGTCCTGGTCACCACAAGAGTGATGAAGGGAAATAAGACAAAATAAAGGTGACTTCTGCCCATTGATGGAGTCACCAGCCAGGGTTAATAATAAGAGCAAAGCTGGGACTTCCCTGGTGGCGCAGTGGTTAAGAATCCGCCTGCCAGTGCAGGGGACACAGGTTCGATCCCTGGTCCGGGAAGATCCCACATGCCGTGGAGCAACTAAGCCCGTGCACCACAACTACTGAGCCTGCGGTCTAGAGCCCGCGAGCCACAACTACTGAGCCTACATGCCACAACTACTGAAGCCTGCACCCCTAGAGCCCGTGCTCTGCAACATGAGAAGCCCGTGCACCACAATGAAGAGTAGCCCCCGTTCTTGGCAACTAGAGAAAGCCTGCACGCAGCAACGAAGACCCAACGCAGCCAAAAAATTAAAAGACAGTAATAATAATAAGAGCAAAGCTAAATAAATGTCTCTTTTTTTCTGTTAGTGTTTGCAGTGGCAGAAGCCAGCCTCTGCTCAGCATGTCTAGGGAACTAGAACGTTAGACTGCCTTTGCCACATACTGTGAAAACTTTAGCACTCGTAGGCTGACTCCTTCCAGATTCAACCAATCACCTGCAACTCCAAAGGGGGTTGTGATTTGTGGTGATCCGTGATCTTTGGTCATTTGTCTGTTGAGCCTGGGATTCCAGAGCCCATCGTAGGGACAGCCATGGATCTGTGCCCCAGGGGCCTTTCATTGGTCTCACCCTGTCCATGCTTCTATTTAGTCACTTCCTGCTTGAATCTGTCCTCATTGTTTCATTTGTAAACTCTGGACACTAAGTGGGAAGAAAAAACTTTAGTGCAAGTTGAAAAGATTGACTTGCGGTGTGAGGAGTTGCCTGGGAATATGATGAGGGCAAAAGCGGAGAGCCTGAATGAATCCTCCGTGTCTGCAGATCTGAGGCTGCACTGAAGTCGCAGATGTCTCCTGCACGAGCATCAGGGTCCTCTGGGATGTGTCTCTCCTCCTCCTCCATTCCTGAGGCCCACATCTGAACTTAGGGACTACAGAGTCACATCCTATGGCAACTGCACTGCCGGTGAAGTGTGGTTCACATGACTTAAGAAGCATGGAAGTTTCTGCCTGTCGGTGCTGGCCCCTGGTCTGGTTTCAGATGTAATCTTGGTGCATTTGTTTTATTTCAGGGAAAACTTGATGCCCTGTGGGTCCTGCTAAGGAAAGGCTACGATCGTGTGTCCGTGATGCGTCCACAGCCAGGAGACACGGTAGGATGCATTAACGGGGTCGCACACATGCGTTCTTTTTGCTCTCTCTCTCTCTCTCTCTCTCTGACTGTTGAGCCAGAATAACTCCAGATATAGGAATCCAGCTGTGATTTCATGTTGTGACAAATGAGACACTACTTTTCAAAACTTGGGTTTTTACAAGACCTTGAGTTTCGCCTTGCTTTTCTGAAAAGGATTTTGGCAGAAATAGCTTCGCTTTAATGTCCTAGGACTTGGGCTTCTGAGTTTACAGGTACAGTGTGTGAATAAGGCAGGACTGGCTCTTACTCAGGTAGCTCCAGGGGAGAGGCCTGCTGCTTCTCAGCCACACTGGCCAGTGGCGACAAGCAGGACGCCAGGGCCACAGGATGAAGCGACGGAATAGGGGCCACAGAAAACTCCCCCACCTTCCAGCAGGCACTGGGCCCAGCTGGTCCAGGATCACGGGAGGACCTTCCACCCTGGCGAGGGTTTGCCCTGAAACTGTCAGGGCCAAGCTCAGATGTCTCAACTAGAAGGAGACAGAAAGGGAGGAGGCATCAGAGGCCTTAGAAACCATCTAGCCAAAATCCTCATTTTGTAAGTGAGGAAACAGAGGACAAGACAAGCTGAATATTGTGTTCTGTTCAGATAGTAACAATGCTGGAAACAACCTCAGTTCTGCTGTAATCACACCATGGCTATGTCTTCCGGGAAGAGTTGTCTCTCTTTCATAAAATCTACAGAGCAAAGCTGGGGACCAAATTCTCCCTCAACTACCCGCGACCTGCATCTTGCATCCGCTGCTCTGGGAATCAAGCACATGAACCCCAAAGCAAAATCAAGGTGTCTAATTTGGGGCTCCTTTCAAACCAGGTAGAGGTGGGTTTGAATCTTGCTTCCTTCCTGCCTGGAAAACTCCAGGCCAGTCACTTGATCTCTCTGAACTTCATGTTTATAAAGTAGTTGGTAATAACTACTTCACAGTGTGGCTGGTTGGAGAAGGTACTATTTGTAAAGCATGTGGCCTGACGTTTGAACACCTGGTAATGCTTAGTCAGGGCAAATATTATTAGGATTATTTACTTTGTGCTTTTCTACTGTCTGTGAAGGGTTGATGCAAAAATTCAAACTATATGCAATTGATGTGTGTCAGATATACCCACATCTTTACCCCGCCCACTCTGCAACACGGCACAACTGATAAAACACGAGAGCAGAGCCAGTTAGGCAGGCCCCCCTTCCTTTGCACCTGTTGACAGGTGACAATGGGTGGCTTGTGGCTGAGGGGATTTGGTCTAAAGTTTCACAGCCTGTGCAGGCTGCAGCCAATTAGCTATTCCTGCTCCAGTTTGTGGCAGGGACAACAGGCAAGAATGACATTTAAAAAAATCCCAGGGCTTCCCTGGTGGCGCAGTGGTTGGGGGTCCAGCTGCCGATGCAGGGGACGTGGGTTCGTGCCCCGGTCCGGGAAGATCCCACATGCCGCGGAGCGGCTGGGCCCGTGAGCCACGGCCGCTGAGCCTGCGCGTCCGGAGCCTGTGCTCCGCAACGGGAGAGGCCACAACAGTGAGAAGCCCGCGTACCGGAAAAAAAAAAAAAAATCCCAGGCCATATAAATGCTGGGCCAGCTTGGCCCTCATGACACATGGAATTTGTATTTTGTCTGTGCACGTCAACAAACACATTGCCATAGCAGATTTGAAAGTACAAATTCTACAGCTAACAGAAATGAGCCTAGGTCATTAACTTTGTACTCAGGGTGGTATTTGGCCTTATAAGTTATACATACGGTTTCTGTGGAAAATTAAGAATTTTTTTTAGCCTGCATGAGACTCATCTAACAGATTACAAAAAAAAAAAAAAAATAGGATACCCAAACTCGGGTTCAGCAGTACTATTTTTTGTGATAGAACATGCTAGTCCAGTGAACAAACCCACTCTTCTCAGAGCAACTGAAAATCACCACTCAGATTTGTTAACATTCCACTCTCTGCTGACCAGTTCGGCAGAAACAAATTTCTAAACTGGGTCAAGCAGAGGAGGGAGTGTAGGAAAGAGGAAGGATAGAGAGAAATATTATGGTATAGAAGATAGAGGAACCCAAACTGTTTGAGGGCAAAAGGCTGATGGGATAAATCCAACAACAATGAAATGAAAATGGATGGAATTTCTTCTAGTGAATCACACCTAGATTGAATGTATTATTTACTAATTCTGAATGAAAGTTTGTACTTCACACTTGAAGATGTCTTGTGTGCTTTTGAGAAATACGATTCCTCCTTGAATTTTCATTTTCCAATCACACCAAATAATAGGTGCGAAGGACAGGCGGGCTGAGAATTAGGATACATTTGACTGTATTCTCAGCAGTGTTGCAAGTTATGATTGTTCAGCCTGCTTTTAAATGGGCTTTCTGTATAGAAATCCTGCTAAAATGTTTAAGACACATGCGAGAATAGTTGCAGAGAACTGTGTCCTGGTAGTCATGGTGATGGCCACAGACATCTAGACGTACACATGGAGTTACACAAGAAAGGTCACAGATTAGATAGGAACAGAAATTCACAGCTTCCTCATGGCAACTCAGGAAAGAATTCCAGGAGTAGAGAAGACTATACTGTAGCTTATTATTACATGCTTACTCTGTATTATTTTGCATAATCTTAGGAGACTCGCTACAGACCTGACTTCCTTGCACGGGGATGGCTCTGTAAGAATTCTTCAGCACTGATTTATGGGGCTGACCACATTTTCCATAGACTCAGAATGACTGCATCCAGGCATGTGCTCGTGAACACGAGTCACAGGTTCTGAATTTTTCCTTTAAAACAAAAACAAAACCAAACATCACCTAATTACATTCTCGTTCTGATTTGTTTCAAACATGTGTTGACCTCACAGGAACCTGGCAATTCTTCCTTCTCAGTTCCTGTCTGCTCCTGCTTCCCCCAGTGAACCCACCCCAGCCCTAGAGAGGCAGACACGGGCTCACCAGTAGAGCCTTTGAGGCTGCTGGAAAAGCTGAGAGCTTCCAGCCTCCACCGCAGAGCAGAGGGCTCCAGGAGGCCTGAGCCCAGAGCCACATCCTTCCCTGGAATTGGTGCCCACCTCCTGGGAGCTGTCCAAGCCCAGGGTCAGGGAAAACATGAATGGGATGACAGCAGGAGACATGAATGCTTTCTGTCCACCACCACCCATCTTCTTCTTTCTGCCTGGGGTGGGCTCACAGTCCTATTGTTCGTTGGAGCCCACCAAGAGATCCTGAGCAAACATAAAAAAGAAAGTACCAGAAGAAACCACTTAAAAAGCAAACCAGCAACACATCCGATCCTAAAATTTAAAGACTTCACTAAGCATATGGTATCCTTTGCTTAAACCAGCCCCCGGCTTCCAGTATATAGCCACCGTTGTGCTCTTGCTAAAACACGGATCTCAGTGTAACATCCCAAGGCTTCAGACTGGCCAAGACTAGGAAGGAGACCCAAATCCTTAGCTTGATTTAGAAAGGCTTCCCTTATCATTTCATCTGCTACTACCTCCAGGTTCCCCCATCACTCCAAATAGCTTTCCAGCCACCTAGAATTGCTCACCATTCCCTGAACATGCCAGCATCTTCTGTGTCTCTGCGCCTTTGCATATTCTAGTTTCTCTGCTTGGAATGTCTTTCCCATCATCTCTACCTAGTGAACTGTCACCTTGGTAAGATTGTTCATTGTTCCCGTAGTATCCCTGTAAACACAAGAAGTTGCTGTCCAGACCCGGGCTTTAAAGGGGGCGTTGCCAAAGCAGGGCATATTCACAGAGACTTACCAAGAAAGGCTGGAAATTAGAACCTGTATCCCATGAGCATTTTCCAGGACGCTCCCCAAGGCTTCCTACACACCAGGGCCACTCTGACCTTAGAAAGTTTGCTCACCATTCAAGGAGAAATGGCAGAAGGAATTAGGAATGTTCAGTCTGAGGAAGAGTTAAAGGACCCTGAGAGCTTTTTCACTTGGTCATTTCTTGGTCATCACATTATGCACCCCTTTTATAAACTATTTTTAATCACTTAACCATGTTTGAGGAATAATCTTTCTATGCCATTCATATCGTTATATATCATTTTAATGGCTGTGTCATATTCCTTTGTCAATCTGTGACGTAATATTTCGGCCTATCTTCTCTTTTTGGATATTTATTTCCAAGTGTTTATTTTTATAAATGAGGCTGTAATCGGTATGCTTGTTGCCAAATCATTGTGCACACTCATGAATGTTCCCTTAGGATTAGGAAGGCAGCTATCTGCTGGATCGAACAACATGAGAAATTTTAGAGCTTTGGTAACGAGGCCAGATTGGCCTCATTATTCATTATTGCCTGAAACACTGTGTGAATTAACCCTAGAGTCAGCATCAATGAAAAACCCATCTCCCATTAACATTACTAAAGTTAGCTATTTGATAGGTGCTAATTTAATTTATAGGTGCTAATTTAATTTGCATTTTCTGTTATTGAAGTGAAACATCTTTTTCAAATATTTATTTTCCCTTTTGTCAATTGCCTATATATGCCCTCAGCCCATTTTTCTACTGTATATTTTAGCATTGATTTTTTATTTATTTTTATTTATTTTTTGGTCGCTCCAAGTCTTAGTTGCGGCATGCTAACTCTTAGTTGCAGCATGCATGTGGGATCTAGTTCCCTGGCCAGGGATTGAACCTGCGTCCCCTGCATTGGAAGGCAGATTCTTAACTGCTGCACCACCAGGCAAGTCCCTAGCATTGATTTTTATATGGCCATTTGCTTAACTCATCTTCATTCGTTCATTAGTCAAATGCTTTGAGGACTCAGTTTATGTCAGACCCTGTGCTATACATTAAGTATATGATGCTTACGTCATGAAACTTAAAGTCTAACATTATATATATATATATATATATATATATAAAATATACATATGCAAAGTTTTTCTAGCTTGTCATATACTTTTTAAGTTTTTAAAAATATATTGACGTCATCTATAATTTTATAGTTAA